GTGGATGGTTTTGATTAGTTCCTCTGTGGAGCTTTTAGGGTTTTCCATATAAATTAACTACATATATATTTTTTTAATAACTTTTTGTGTGTGTGTAGAGGAACTGGGGCGTAGGCCAGAAGAGGGGGGCAGGATTCACCAGAAACAGAGTGGGGAGTAGAGCAGGTGGATTTACTGAAACATGCTAAGGGGAGCAGTATTCAAATACTTTAACCTCCCTTAAATGCATTCCTTCGTACAAATTTCCAACAACTTCCATGTAAACACTCAGGGCAAGTTACAAATCCAAGTGTAATTTTATTTATTTATTTATGTATTTTGGGCCCTCCCTGGTGGGTGCAGTGGGTTAAAGCACAGCATTGAACAGCTAAAGCCACCTCAGCATGAGTTCAATCCTGGCCCTGGAGGTGACCCACATGGCGCGACAGACCTCTCCTGATCCACCTGCTGCTCCCCTCAGCACTGTACTTGTCAGTTGGCCTGTTCTGCTCCCCACTCTGTCTCTGGTGAATCCTCTCACTGCCCCTGCACCTCTGGCCTGTATCCAAGTGCTATATGCATAAATAAATAAATCTTTTTTAAAAATGGGGAATGTTCTTTTTGTCCCCCTACTTCCCTCCAGTTTTTTAGAATATGGTTGCAACAGTTGATATTGGAGTAAGTCAACTTTCATGGACACAGCATCAAGCCAAAAGAACCCTAGACCCTAGTTACTGGAGGTTCCAGACACCTCTGTACTAACTATATGTGAAAGAAAAAAAATAAATTTCTATCTTAAGTCTTTATATTTTTATCACTTGCAGTCAAACCTGTCCTAGCTAATACTAACAGATATAAAGCACATCCTCAACCAGTAAGTGATTTATGAATGAGAAAGGAATTTATGTGACCCAAGTCTCAAAAAGGCTGCTTAAGATATTAAGATAGCCTAAGATCGATAAGCAAATTATAGAAAATCCAGTGTAACTGTAAAATTGCATACTTAATGGCCTACAACAAAAAAATACTAACCTGGGATGTTCTGGTGTATTCTTCATATAGCCTGTCATACTCTTTGCTCTTTTCTTGATACTGAGAGTGGTACTCTTGCAGTTTTTTGCCTACTGCATCAATGTTATCTTCTTTTACCAACTGATCCTATAATGATAAACAGAAACAATAAAGAAAATTAACAGTTCTGACACATGAAGTTTTCCACATCTATTTATTTTTTAATTGTTTTTCTATGGTAGCTTTAGGCCACTGTATTAAGCATGCAAAAATACTAAATCTTTTTGCTAACACTAAGATCAGTCTTTAGATACATCAAATTAGTTACTTTATAAATTAAGAAGTAAAGTATAAATGGGAAATATAAACAAATATTTTCATATAATGTTAATAAACACATGCAGTGAGTTGTTATGGAATAGTAAGCCCAAAGTCCAAAAACATGTTAAACCTTAATTTTAAAAGAAATAATTTTTTTAAAACGGGTAAGCCTGGTAAATTAGAATCAAATGTTGTTGTTAAACAATGATTTGCTGAAGAACTACCAAGAACTTCTATAATCATACCTGTTGGTATCTGGATACAGGGTACATCAATTTCACATCAAGTTTGGGATTGTACTGAGCAAGTGATTCATGATGATAGTGGTTAATGAGCTCGACCACAGAATTAAATGTCAGAGGATCAGAAAAGCCATATTTTCCATCTCGATGATAGATCTTTATTAACTTATTATTGCCTCCTTTCCTGTGAACAACAAGACAACAACTGTAGATTCCCCCCCAAACTCAACTATTTATTTCTTTCATATTGAGATCTGAAAGCTTATATTAATAAGCAAGTTTTACCAAGCTTATGAGGCTAGAAGAGGAGAGAAGGCATATTTAATTGTGCATGTAAATGTATAAAGTTTAAAACTATTTCTTTTGTCTATAAAATAAATATTATGGGGAGAATCTCCCTAGAAGTGCAGGGGGTTAAGTCTCAGCACTATGAAGCTATTAACAGCCACTGTAGCACCCAGTTCATTCCCCAGCCAGGATGCTGACCCACATACCACATCCTGCTGCTCCCGCTGCTCCCCTCATTAGTATATTTCAATTTGCCTGTTCTGCTCCCTACTCTGTCTCTGGTGAATCCTCTCACCTCCCATGCCTCTGGCCTGTACCCCAGTTCTTGTATGCATAAATAAATAATTTTTTAATGTAAACTATCTTTGTTTTCTGAATAAATTTTCTAATTTGAATTTTTTTAAAGATTTATTTATTTACGCATACAGAAGTAGGGTACAGGCCAGAGGTGCAAGGGTGGTGAGAGGATTCACCAGAGGCAGGGTGGAGAGCAGAACAGGCCAACTGACTAAGTACACTGCTGAGGGGAGCAGCGGATGGGTCAGGAGAGGTCTGCCACACCATGTGGTCACCTCCGGGGTGGGTGGGGATTTAACTCATGTGGAAGTGGCTTTAGCTTCTTCTTAATGCTGTGCTTTAACCCGCTGAGCCACCAGGGAGGGCCCTCTAATTTGAATTTTATCATTTTTTCCCAGGAAATATAAAGGCAACCTCTTTAGGAACATATTGTAGGTAATTCATTGTATGTGTGTTTGAAAGGAAGCAGAATCCATCTCTATACAAGGACAAAGACACTCAAAGTTTTACTGTTAATATACAAGTACAATTTATTTCTTTGAATGATTTATAACTGAGTAATCTAGCATCTTACAATATTTATCTTTTATTTTTACTTGTAATTCTTGGAAGTGGCTTTATTTAGGCCATCACAATGTGTGAGTCAACTGTTTTACAAAGTACAGCCATTTATATTAGATAGATATAATCTTACACTTGAATAGTTTAGATCATTTTTGATTATTAAGTCATATATAGAGGGTGCTTAAAAAATAATTTATAACCAAAGCTTACAATGGCAACATTTTACAAGTCCATTAAAGTATAACCTAAAACAAACAGAATTTTGTTATCGTAACAAAATATTTCATCATTCCCACTCAACTCTTCTTACAATAGCATGAAGACTTTGTGGGGATAAAATATGCCTACCTCTTTATACCATGTTGTCACTCATGACAGACAAGGTGTGGAAGGTCAAACATGATAGGTTTGAATCTATGGATGGATTTAATTGATGCATAGAAGATCAGTATTTAGATGGATGAAGAACTATTCCCATAAAATGTACTTAAGCAGAGTCCTAATAAGTGAGGGAGTTGGCATAACAGATCTGGGGGAAGGTTTCTCAAGCATAGAAAACAGCAAATGCAGAGTGTGGTAGAAGCACAAGAAACAGCAAGGAGGTGAGTGGTGCTGGGGCTGAAAGAGCAAAAGGGGGAGTAGTAGGAAGCAAACTAAGAAATATAAAAGGAGCTTAGATCATATAACATTCTGTAGACCACTGTTAAGGACTGGTTTTTACTGCATAAGATGGGGGAACGAGGGTTTTGAGGGGTGATACTTATCTTGTGGTTTAGAAAGCTCACGATAGCTGCTGGACTGAGAAAAAGACCAAAGGGGTAGGGTAGGAGAAAGATCAACTAGAAGATTAATTAAATAATGTAGGCAAGAGGTGATGGAATCTTGGAAAAGAGGAATAGCAATGGAGATAGTGAGAGATCCTGGGATTCTGTGTATGTTTTGGATGACAGGATGTGCTGATGGCTTGCACATGGGTATGAGTAAAAAAGGCAAGATATAGATGGCTTGAAGATTTTTGTTTTTTTAAAGATTTATTTATTTATGCTTACAGAACTGGGATTTAGGGTATGGTGGGTGAGAGGATTCACCAGAGACAGAGTGGGGAGCAGAACAGGCAGATGTACTGAAATACACTGCTGAGGGGAGCAGCGGGCGAGTCAGGAGAGGTCTGCCACGCCATGTGGGTAAGCTCCCTGGCGGGGGATTGAACTCGTGTTGCAGTGGCTTCAGAGAGCTTCATAATGCAGTGTTTTAACCTGCTGAGCCACCAGGGAGAGCCCTGACTTGAAGGCTTTTATCTTAAGCAATTAAAAAACAGAATTCTCACTTATTAAAGTGAAGAAGGGTCTATAAAAATAACAAATTTAAAGGGGAAAAATCATTTTGGTTTTAGGCATCTTGAGATGCCTAGTAAATATCCAAGAGAAGATGATGATCCACCAACCTATTTGAAGAATCTAAAGTTTAGAAGAAAGGTCTGGGCAAGAAATATAAAATCAGATGTTGTCAGTCTATATATGTTATTTAAAGATAAGAATAGCTGAATAAGAGATCCAAGGTCTAAGTCCTGGGACATACCAATGTTTAGTGGTCAGGGAATAAGGATGAGCTAAGGAAACCAGGAAAGAGCAGTTAATTAAGTGAAAGAACTAACAGCATGGTATCCTAAAAACTATTTACACAAGCATTTCAACAGAAATGGAAGTAATTAATGGGTTCATGATCTTGGGACTTGGCAAAAATGAGATCACTAAGAGACCTTGACTGAATTGTTTCAATAGAATGGTGAGGATGGCAGACTAACTGGAATGGATTGACTAAATAAATGACTGTAGATAACTACCTAGAGAAATAATGATGTAAATGGGAGCACAGAAATAGGGAAGTAACTGGAAAAAGTGGACATAACTGGCCTGGATCTTAGTAATGCAATAAAAATTGTTAATTTAAAAAAAGGACAGTCCCTGGCCTGGAAGCTTACCCAAATATGGTGTAGCAGATGTCTCCCCAATTCCCCTTAGCAGTGTATTTCTATAGATCTGCCTTTTCTGCTCCCCATTATTTCTGGTGCATCTTCTCACACACAGACACCCAATCCCCACCCCCTGCCCCACACCTCAGGACTACAACCCAGTTCTTCTATACAAAAATAAAGAAAGAAAAGAAAAGAAAGAACAGATAATGCCTAGGATGATATACCTGAGTAGAAGGGTGGGTTGGTATCCAGCATAAAAGGAGAAAGGTAGAACCTGGACAAGGACATGAAATACATTCTGACTGTATGCATACATTTAGGAAGCAAATTTTTTAGTTAAAAGGGGGAAGAGAGTAGTTGATGTGAGAGAAAGAAAAAAATGTGAACTTGTCATCCAAGAAAGCAGGAGCACATGACTTGTGGGAATGCAGTTCAGCTGGGCAGTACTAAAAGGCCCACTCACGAATAACAGTCAGAAATTTAAAGCAACAGGTCCTCAGTGGGTTAAGTCTCAGCACTATGGAGCTGTCTGCATAGTCACTGCAGCATGAGTTTGAGCCCCAGCCAGGGAGGTGACCCAGATGGCACTCAGATCTCTCCTGTCCCACCCGCTGCTCCCCTCAGCAGCTTATTTCAATAAATCTGCCTGTTTTGCTCCCCAGTGTGTATCTGGGGATACCTTTTACTAGCACCACCCCGACCCCCCACCTGTGGCCTGTACTCCAGTTCTTGTGTGCATAAACAAATCTTTAAAAAAAAAAAAGAAATTTAAAGTAAGACCAATGTGTTTATATTTTTCTCCACATTTAATAGCCCAAGTATAGGCAATAGATAGAAAGTTCAGTTTAACAAGTGTTGGCTACAGTAGGTGACTACACAAGAGAAAAGAACAAGTTTTTTGATGATATATTCTCAAGGGTAATTTAATAATGAATCAAGGACTCTAAAACAGAGAAAAAGGAAAATGAAGACATGATGGAACTGAAGAACAGTTAATTTTTAATTCTCTCTCTCTTACTATAATCATTTCACACAGAAAAAAAAACCATGCTATTCCTTTTTATATCCTAGCACCTGGCCCAAAGCCTGGCATACAACATAAAAGATTTGTTAACTATCTAGATTTTCTTTAATTAATGCTAGTTACTGATTTTTTTTAATTGTTATTGAATTGGCTGCCTTCTACATCTACCTCTCTGATTTTATAACCATTCCTTTCATTTGAGGGTTGCCAATGACTTAGCATATCAATCCCTGCTCCTCTCTCTACCCCAGGCTCAAATTTTTTTGTAGTGACTGAAATTACTCTTTCTCTTCTCCTCCCAGCCACTTTCCTTCTTCATATTTCATCTTCCCATATATCTGTGACATTACTCTCTTCTCTCAACCTCTTGAACTGCCCTTCTTCTGTCCTCTTGCTGCTAAATATATGTATTCCCTAAAATAAATTTCCTTCAGTCTTACCTTTCCCCTTCCTCTGCCTTACATACTTTTTCTTAAAATCCCATTTATTCTATGTAGGTGACACCTGAATTTTTTTTCAGAACCTAAACTTTCTCTTAAGCTTTAAACCCACATTTCTAGCTATAGCCTATTGCATATGTTTACATGCAATTTCCAGAGTACCTAAAAATCAATTATCTTCCTCTCTTTCCCAATAAAGCTGCCCCTAATTTTCCTATTTCTATAAATTCTCAGCCCTGCAGGCCAAACCAGAGTAACCCCTAGAGTTCCCTCACCTGTTAACAATTCTTTTATCAAATCTCTTTTGATTGTACTTCTATCTCAACTCTTTTCCTAGACTCATTATCCTAGTTAATTATATACTTGATCTTCATAATGTCATTCCCTGTTTAACAACCTTTATCAATTTTTTTTGCACTGAAAATAAAATTCCTTACCATGACTCATTAAGCTCTCTGCAGCTGGCTCCTTCCACTTTCATCTCTTATCACTCTGTGGTTCATACTATAAGCCAGCCGCAGTGATCTTTGTATTCACTGAATCCACCAATCTTTCCAAAATTGGGTGTCCTTGCATCTTCTGTTCCTGCTCCCTGG